AAATGACGCCCGAGACCGTGAAGAGATCAAACGTAACCGCATCCATCTTGCTTCTAACCTCCAAGCTGTCCTTGTTCATTCCTGCGTGTAGGCTGAACTAACTTGGGGGGAAACTTAGTTTATAGCTTACAGTTTATAGTTTAAAACAAAGACAATAAAAGCCCTTTCACAAAGCAAACCTCCTTCTGGTCTGGGGACTAGACTGCCTTTGTAGGACTAATGAATTAGCCACAGATAAGAAAGTATGGTTTAGGAGTCATGTAGCTGGAGGCTACAAGATGCTGCTCCTCCCTAAACTGCTCCTAAGATCAGAGCTTGAGATATTTTGCAGACCCTGCACTTGGTGGAGCAGCTGCACTACCGGATCAATAAACTGGCTCCTCTGATCTATGGCCCCGACCCAAGAACTGACTCAGCGCAAGAAGACAGCTCTGACTCGGGACGCTTTCGTCTCTGACCAATCAGCACTCCTGGCTCACTGCTTCCCCTACCCACCAAGCTATCCTAAAAGCTCTGCTGCCCGAATGCTCCGGGAGACTGATCGGAGCGATGATAAAACTCCAGACTCCCTCACAGCCGGCTCTAAGAATTACTTTTTCTCGATTGCAAGTCCCCTGTCCTGAGGAATGGGCGCTGTCTGGGCAGCGGGCAAGGGGAACTCATTGTGCAGTTATGGAAAGAGTAACTGTTTAGTGAAGAAACTGAAAAACACTACCTCAGGCAAGTAGTCAAAGTTCACATCAGCAGTAGTATGTCATGCTGATAGTATGCCATTGATATAATATGACAAGAATGGCATTTTACCTCTGTGATCTTCCTTCCAAAAACCTATAACCCCCAATTAATCATTAACAGAAAAATCCCAATGGAGGAAGGGACATTCTACGAAACACCGAACCAGTCAGCATTCCTCAAAATTTCAACGTTATGAAAAACAAGAAAGTCTAAGAAATGATGTATCAATACTGGTTCATTAACTGTGGCAAACGTTGCCTCCTCTGTATATGTTAATAACAGGGAGTCCAGGTGCAATAGGTTATGCCTGTGATCCCAGGGTTTTGGGAGGCTGAGCCAGGGAGACTGGTTAAGCCCCAGAGGTCAAGGCTGCAGTGAGCCATGACTGCACCACTGCGCTCCAGCCTGGGTGACAGAGCAAGACCTACCTCAAAAACATAATTATTATTATTATAATAATATGGGAAACTAGGTGTGGGGTATATGCAAACTCTCTGCAACTTTTCTGTATATCTAAAAACTATCTTAAAGTAAAAACTTGATATTTAAATTTTTTATTTATTTATTTTTTGAGGCAGAGTCTCATTCTGTTCCCCAGGCTGGAGTGCAGTGGTGTAATCTTGGCTCACTGCAGGTTCAAGCAATTCTCCTGCCTCAGCCTCCTGAGTGGTGGAGTGGCTGGGATTACAGGTGCACACTGCCATGCTCAGCTAATTTTTTGTATTTTTAGAAGAGATGGGGTTTCGCCATTTTGGCTAGGCTGATCTTGAACTCCTGACTTCAAGTGATCTGCACGCCTCAGTCTCCCAACGTGCTGGGCTTACAGGTATGAGACACTGCACCTGGCCAAAAACTACTTTTTAAAAGAAAGTAATGGCTAAGAATTTTCCCAAACTGATTTAAAAAAAATCAACCCAGCTAGGTACCGTGGCTCACACCTGTAATCCCAGGACTTTGGAAGGCTGCATGTGGTGTCAGGCATCTGTAATCCCAGCTATTTGGGAGGCTGAGGCAGGAGAATCTCTTGAACCCAGGAGGTGGAGGTTGCAGTGAGCCAGATCGTGCCATTGCACTCCAGCCTAGACAACAAGAGCGAAACTCCATCTCAAAAACAAAAAAAAAAAATCAACCCACAGATTCAATAGATTCTGAGAGCCGCAAGCAGAATAAATATAAAGAAAGCAATAGTGGCTACAGAGGACATACCATCTTCCATCGAATAATAAAACTTACGGCTGACTTCTCAACAGTGACAATGAAAACTAGAAGACAATGTAATCCCTCATCTATGTATCTGCGCAGGGTCTCACTCTGCTGCCCAGGCTGGAGGACACTGGCGCCATCACAGCCCACTGCAGGCTCAACCTCCCTGGGCTCAAGCATTCCTTCTACCTCAGCCTCTCAAGTAGCTGGGAACACAGGCATGTGCCACCGTGCCCAGCTAAATTTTCTATTTTTTTGTAGAGATGGGGTTTTGCTGTGTTGCCCAGGCTGGTCTGGAACCCCTGGGCTCAAGTGATCCTCCTGCCTCAGCTTCCCAAAGTGCTGGGATTACAGGTATGACCCACCACACCCAGCCCTGATGGGAAACACTATAATAGATGGATCCATCTGACAATATCTGAACTCCATTATCAATCTTAAGGAAGTAAAAAGAGATGGCCAGCTATTTTGTACCTCCTGATAAGATGCAATAGGATGTACAGAAAACAGTCTTTCCCCAGCAGAGTAACGTGGCTCACATCTGTAATCCCAGCACTTTGGGAGGCCAAGGCGGGTGGATCACAAGGTCAGGAGTTCAAGACCAGAATGATCAACATGGTGAAATCCTATCTTAAATAAAAATACAAAAATTAGCCAGGCATGGTGGCGCATGCCTGTAATCCCAGCTATTCAGGAGCTGAGGCAAGAGAATCACTTGAACCCGGGAGGCGGAGGCTGCAGTGAGCCAAGATCGCAACACCTTACTCCAGCCTGGGCATCAGAAGAAGACTCCAGCTCAAAAAAATAAAATAAAAAACAAAAACAAAAACAAAGAAAACAGTCTTTCCTCAACCTCAAACCTATGGCTAATTAAGTCTAGATCTAATTATTTATCTTCAAGAAGTACAGGAATACATATTAAACAATACCATAGGTAAATAATCAGCAAATGCCAGAATATAGGAAACTCTACAGGACAAACCAATTTTTTCAACAAATAAATGGCAGAAAAAAAAAAGAAAAAAAAAACAGGCTGGGCATGGTGGCTCACGCCTGCAATCCCAGCACTTTGGGAGGCCAAGGTGGGTGGATCCCCTGAGGTCAGGAATTTGAGAACTGCCTGGCCAACATGGTAAAACCATATCTCTACTAAAAATACAAAAATTACCCAGGCATGGTGGTATGCACCTGTAATCCCAGCTACTCAGGAGGCTGAGGCAGGAGAATCACTTGAACCCGGAAGGCAGAGGTTGCAGTGAGTCAAGATCACGGCAGTGCACTACAGCCTGCATGAGGAAGCAAGACTCTGTCATAAAAATAAAATTAAATGGCAGTATTAAAAGAGGAAAGAGAGGCCGGTTGTGGTGGTTCATGCCTGTAATCCCAGCACTCTGGGAGGCCAAGAAGGGCAGATCACAAGGTCAGAAGTTCGAGACCGACGTGGCCAACATGGTGAAACCCCGTCTCAACTAAAAATACAAAAATTAGCTGGGTGTGGTGATGCACACCTGTAATCCCAGCTACTCAGGAAACTGGGGCAGGAGAATGGCTTGAACCCATGAGGCAGAGGTTGCAGTGAGCTGAGATCGCATTACCAGACTCCAGCCTGGGTGACAGAGCAAGACTCCATCTGTCTCAAAAAAAAAAAAGAGAAATGAGGCAGCAAAAATGAGAGATTAAATTTAAAGCCTGATGCCATGGTGTGCACCTACCGTCCCAGCTACCTGGTAGGCTGAGGTGGAAGGATCACTTGAGCCAAGGAATTCAAGTCTGCAGTGTGTTATGATCACATCTGTGAATAGCAACTATAATCCAGCCTGGGCAATATAGCAAGATCCTATGTCTTAAAAAAACTCTAATTTACATATCAACCAAATGCAATGTGTGGACCTTGTCTGAATCTTAATTTGCACAAATTGTAAAAAAGAAAATAACAGGTCTGGCATGGTGGCTTAAACCTGTATAATTCCACCACTTTAAGAGGCCAAGACTGGTGAACTGCCTGAGCCCAGGAGTTCAAGACCAGCCTGGCCAACAGACTGTGACCCATCTCTGCAGAAAATATAAAAACAAAATTAGCCAGGTGTGGTGGTGCACACCTGCAGACCCAGCTACTCAGGAGGCTGAAACAGGAGGATCCCTTGAGCCCATGAGTCCAAGGCTGCACGAGCTGTGATAGTGTCACTGCATGCCAGCCTGGGTAACAAAATGAGACCGTCTCTTTAAACAAAAAGAGAAAGAAAACACACACATACATATATGAGGCAATCTTGGACATCTGAACACTAACTGCATATTTTATAATATCAAGGACTGACAACATTTTAGAGATGATGATACTTTATTTTTATTTTTATTTTTTGAGACAGAGTGTTGCTCTGCCACCCAGGCTGGAATGCAATGGCACAATCTCAGCTCACTGCAACCTCCTCCTCTTGAGTTCAAGCAATTCTGCCTCAGCCTCCTGAGTAGCTGGGACTACAAGCACACACCACCACACCTAGCTAATTTTTGTATTTTCAGTAGAGACGGGGTTTCACCATTTTGGCCAGGCTTGTCTTAAACTCCTGATCTCAGGTGATCCACCTGCTTTGGCCTCCCGAAGTGCTAGGATTACAGGTGTAAACCAACACACCAGGCCCCCTCTCACTCTTGTAAAGACACACTCTTACTGAATTGTCAAGAGGACAGATACTTCATAAGAAATATAGATGAATGGCCGGGCGCGGTGGCTCAAGCCTGTAATCCCAGCACTTCGGGAGGCGGAGGTGGGTGGATCACTTGAGGTCGGGAATTTGAGACCAGCCTAACCAACATAGAGCAACCCCATCTCTACTAAAAATACAAAATTAGCCAGGCCTGCAGGCACCTAGAATCCTAGCTACTTGGGAGGTTCAGACAGAAGAATCTCTTGAACCCGGAAGTCGGAGGTTGCGGTGAGCCGAGATCGCGCCATTGCACTCCATCCTGGGCAACAAGAGTGAAACTCCGTCTTAAAAAAGAAAGAAAGAAAGAAAGAAAGATAGATGAATAAAAACAAGAAGGAAAATCCAGATACTCACAATACTCCTTCACCTCTTTGTTCTCCAATCACTACTTGCACCACCATTTTGTATCGGTCAAACCCCATTTCTAGAAAGAAAAAAGAAGAAGGTTATTTATAAGCAAATACGTAGTAAAATTATTTTGAGGACAAATTTGCCCAGAAATAGACATAAGCATTCAATCCACAAGTACTTAATGAACATGATGGTAAGCTTGGGAGTCAGGGAGACGTGAAGACAGACCCTGTGACTCACCAAGTGTAGAACCTCAGACAAGTGATTTAACTTTTCAGCTGAAATCTCCCTCATTAAATGGGAATATCATTACCTACCTCCCAGGGTTGTTGTAAGATTAGGTAAGATATAGTCGTATTTTTAGTTTTTAGCTGGAGCAGGCTGGAGTGCAGTGGTGTGATCTCAGCTCACTGCAACCTCTGCCTCCTGGGTTCAAGTGATTCTCCTGCCTCAGCCTCCTCAGTAGCTGGGACAATAGGCATGTGCCACCACACGTGGCTGGTCTCCAACTCCTTACTTCAGGTGATCCGCTCACCTCAGCCTCCCAAAGTGCCAGGATTATAGGTGTGCGCCACCGTGCCCAGCCAGATATAATAATATCAAAAGCATCTAAACAGTGCTGTTAAACACTAGTCCCTCCGTAAACTTTAGCTTCCTTTCTTTCTCCCCTACTGTAAGTCAGCTACAGTCAGCTACTGAGCTAAACCTTCAAGATAGAGAAATAAATAAGATGCTTTTCTTGCCTTAAAAGAACTCACAGTAGTAAGAACTCAAAGGAAAATAGAAAAATAGGCCGCACTCACATCTGTAATCCCAGCACTTTGGGGGGATGAGGCAAGTGATCTCCTGAGGTCAGGAGTTTGAGACCAGCCTGGCCAACATGGTTAAACCCCATCTCTACTAAAAAATACAAAAATTAGCCAGGCATGGTGGCAGGCACCCGTAATCTAAACTACTCTGGAGGCCGAGGCAGGAGAATCACTTGAATTTGGGAAATGGAAGTTGCAGTGAGCCAAGATCGCGCCATTGAACTCCAGCCAGAGCAACAAGAACAAAACTCCATCTCAAAAAAAAAAAAAAATAGAAAATAGAAAAATAAATTGGCCGGGCGCGGTGGCTCATGCCTGTAATCCCAGCACTTTGGGAGGCCAAGGCGGGTGAATCACCAGGTCAAGTGACTGAGACCATCCTGGACAACATGGTGAAACCCCGTCTCTACTAAAAATACAAAAAATTAGCTGGGCATGGTGGCACGTGCCTGTAGTCCCAGCTACTCAGGAGGCTGAGGCAGGAGAATTGCCTGAACCCAGGAGGCGGAGGTTGTTGTGAGCCGAGATCGCGCCATTGCACTCCAGCCTGGGTGACAAGAGCGAAACTCTGTCTCAAAAGAAAAAAGAAACTTCAAGTTGAATGATCAAGAGGGAAGGAGGGAAGGAGGGAAGGAGGGAAGGACGGAGGAAAAGAGGGAGGCAGGGAAGGAGAGGAGAGAAAGGAGGGAGGGGCTGTGTAAAAGAAAAAATTTGGCTGGCCACAATGACTCATGCCTATAATCCCAGCACTTTGGGAGGCTGAAGTGGGTGGGTCACTTGAGGTCAGGAGTTCGAGACCAGCCTGACCAACAGGGAAAAAACCCCATCTCTACTAAAAATACAAAATTTAGCCGAGCATGGTGGTGCACGCCTATAAACCCAGCTATTTGGGAGGCTGAGGCAGGAGAACTGCTTCAACTCGGGAGGCGGAGGCTGCAGTGAACCAGGATGCCACTATTGCACTCCAGCCTGGGCAACAAGAGCGAAACTCTGTCTCAAAAAAAAAAAAAAAAAATTCAAACTAGGAAACAATACAAATCAAGGAACAAAGAGTTATTTGTCACAATTAATTCACAATATAAAACATCATAACTTACTAACTCAATCAGGTTATTATTTCTTTTGTTTTTTGAGAAGGAGTTTCGCTCTGTCCCCAGAGTGGAGTACAGAGGCATGATCTCAGCTCACTGCAACCACCACTTCTCCAGTTCACATGATTCTCCCACCTCAGCCTCCTGAGTAGCTGGGATGACGGACATGTGCCACTATGCCCGGCTAATTTTTGTGTTTTAGTAGAGACAAGGTTTCACCATGTTGCCCAGGCTGTTCTTGGCCTCCCAAAGTGTTGGGATGACAGGCCTGAGCCACTGAGCCCAGCCGTTTTCTTGTTTTTTGTTTTTGTTTTGAGACAGGGTCTCTGTCTGTTGCCCAGGCTGGAATGCAGTGACACAATCTTGGCTCACTGTAACCTCTGCCTCCCGGTTTCAGTAATTCTCCTGCCTCAGCCTCCTGAGTAGCTGGGACTACAGGCGCATGTCACTACACCAATTTTTCGTATTTTAGTAGAGACAAGGTTCCAACATGTTGCCCAGGGTGGTCTCGAACTCCTGAGCTCACAATCCACACACCTTGGCCTCCCCAGGTGCTGGGATTACAGGCGTGCTCCACCATGCCTAGCCTCAATCAGGTTATTAGGCAACAGAAAGAGATGAAAGACCACAGCCCTAGGGAACAAACTGAATACCCAGAAAACATCATTCCAGAACTAATATCTTTTCAAAATGGCAAAAGAAAAGACACAAATGAAAAACTAAATTACTGGTTTAAGAAAATCACAAGTATGGCCGGGCGCGGTGGCTCAAGCCTGTAATCCCAGCACTTTGGGAGGCCGAGGCGGGTGGATCACGAGGTCGAGAGATCGAGACCAGCCTGGTCAACATGGTGAAACCCCGTCTCTACTAAAAATACAAAAAATTAGCTGGGCATGGTGGCGCGTGCCTGTAATCCCAGCTACTCAGGAGGCTGAGGCAGGAGAATTGCCTGAATCCAGGAGGCGGAGGTTGCGGTGAGCCGAGATCGCGCCATTGCACTCCAGCCTGGGTAACGAGAGCAAAACTCCGTCTCAAAAAAAAAAAAAAAAAAGGAAATCACAAGTAAATGTCAGTAAAAAACGAAGTAGCCTGGGCAACATGACAAAACCCTGTCTCTACAAAAAATACAAAATTTAACCATGTGTGGTAGCAGGCGCTGCAGTCCCAGCTACTTGGGAGGTGGGAGGATTGCTTGAGGCTGCAGTGAGCCAAGACCGTGCCACTGCATTCCAAGCCTGGGCAACTGAATGAGACCCTGTCTGAAAAAAGTAAAAAATTATGGCAGAGAAAAACTAATAAATATAGAAGACAAAGACAGCTCAACATAACAATATTTGGTGTCCTGAAGAAGAGAAAGTATCAAATGGAATAGGAAATATATTCAGAAATACAAGGAAATTTCCTTTATATGGAAAGAATAAAGCCTGCAGATTGAAAGCTATTGGGGGCTGGCATTGGGGGCCGGGTGTGGTGGCTCACTCCTGCAATCCCAGCCCTTTGGGAGGCTGAGGCAGGCAGATCACCTGAAGTCGGGAGCTCAAGACCAGCCTGACCAACATGGAGAAATCCTACCTCTACTACTAAAAATACAAAATTAGCTAGGCGAGGTGACGCATGCCTGTAATCCCAGCTACTTGGGAGGCTGAGACAGGAAAACTGCTTGAACCCAGGAGGCAAAGGTTGCGGTGAGCTGAGATCCCGCCACTGCACTCCAGCCTGGGCAATAAGAGCAAAACTCGGTCCCCTCAAAGTAAGTAAATAAATGAAATGCTCACTGGCAAGTCAGAATCTTTAGAAAAGCTACTGACCATAAAGGTGAAGGTGAGGATTGTTTTGTTTTGTTTTGTTTTGTTTTTTTTTTTTGAGACAGAGTCTTGCTCTGTCGCCTAGGCTGGAGTGCAGTGGCATGATCTTGGCTCACTGCAACCTCCACCTCCTGAGTTCAAGCAATTCTTCTGTCTCAGCCTCCCTAGTAGCTGGGACTACAGTCGAACACCGCCACATTGGGCTAATTTTTTTTTTTGAGATGGAGTCTCACTCTGTTGCCCAGGCTGGAATGCAGTGGCAGGCTCTCAGCTCACTGCAACCTCCTTTGGGCTCAAGCGATCCTCCTGCCTCAACCCTGCTAGTAGCTGGGATTACAAGCACACACCACCACATGTCTGACTAATTTTTGTATTTTTTTTTTTTTTTTTTTTTTTTTGAGACAGAGTTTCACTCTTGTTACCCAGGCTGGAGTGCAATGGCGCAATCTCGGCTCACCGCAACCTCCGCCTCCTGGGTTCAGGCAATTTTCCTGCCTCAGCCTCCTGAGTGGCTGGGATTACAGGCACACGCCACCATGCCCAGCTAATTTTTTGTATTTTTAGTAGAGACGGGGTTTCACTATGTTGACCAGGATGGTCTCGATCTCTTGACCTCGTGATCCACCCGCCTTGGCCTCCCAAAGTGCTGGGATTACAGGCTTGAGCCACCGCGCCCAGCCTAATTTTTGTATTTTTAGTAGAGATGGGTTTTCACCATGTTGGCCAAGCTGGTCTCGAATTCCTGACCTCAGGTGATCCACCCACCTTTGCCGCCCAAAATGCCAGGATTACAGGCACAAGCCACTGTGCCCAGCCAAAGGCGAGAATTCTTTAAGCAGAGAACATCAAGCTGGCCTCAGATTTCTTGGCAGACAAGTTACCATTGAAAGTCAGAAGACAATGAAGCACAAGAGTCAAGAAGACAAATTATTACCTCAAAAGTATTACATTTATCAAAAGTATATTCTACGTTTTTTTTTTTTTTTTGAGACGGAGTTTCGCTCTTGTTACCCAGGCTGGAGTGCAATGGCACGATCTCGGCTCACCGCAACCTCCGCCTCCTGGGTTCAGGCAATTCTCCTGCCTCAGCCTCCTGAGTAGCTGGGATTACAGGCATGCACCACCATGCCCAGCTAATTTTTTGTATTTTTAGTAGAGACGGGGTTTCACCTTGTTGACCAAGGTTGGTCTCGATCTCTTGACCTTGTGATCCACCCGCCTCGGCCTCCCAAAGTGCTGGGATTACAGGCTTGAGCCACCGCGCCCGGCCTTATTCTACGTTTTTGAGGGGAGAGATGGGGGATGGAGTCTCACTCTGTCACCCAGGCTGGAGTGCAATGACGCCATCTTGGATCACTGCAGGCCCCCCGGGTTCAAGTGATTCTCCTGCCTCAGCCTCCCAAACAGCTGGGATTACAAGCATGTGTCACCATGCCCAGCTAATTTTTGTATCTTTAGTAGAGACAGGGTTTCATCATGTTGGCCACCCTAGTCTGAAACTCCTGACCTCAGGTGATCCACTGGCCTCCACCTCCCGAAATGCTAGGATTACAGGTGTGAGGCAAAAGAGGCAGGCATTCTCAAACACGAAGAACCCACAGCATTTCTAAGTCCTTTCTGAAAACATCTTACAACCAAATTTTATCATCTAAAGGGTTGAAATTAAGAACTCATCTAAGCTACTTGGGGGGCTGAGGCAGAAGAATTGCTTGAGCCTGAGAGGTAGAGGCTGCAGTGATCCGAAATCACACCACTGCACTCCAGCCTGGGTGACAGAGAAAGACCCTGTCTTAAGAAAAGAAAAGAAATAAAGAACTCAACAATGAAAATGGCATGCTTAAAGAACTGAACAGTAGGCAACTGATCCAGTTACAGAATGATTACATGACTTTGGGAAATACATCTACAGTATCCTATTGTAATTTGTCTGTACAGACAGACAGAAAAGTCTGTCGTAATGCTGACCTAATATTAATGTGTGTGTGTGTGTGTGTGTGTGCGTGTGTGTGTTTTTGTTTTTGTTTTTAGACAGGGTCTCACTCTGTCACCTAGGTTGGAGCACACTGGCATGAGCAACGTCCACCTCCCATTCTCAAGCAATTCTCCTGCCTCAGCTTCCTGAGTAGCTGGGATTACAGATGCCTGCCACCACACCCAGCTAGTTTTTTGTATTTTCAGTAGAGACAGGTTTCAACATGTTGGCCAGGCTGGTCTTGAACTCCTGACCTCAGGTGATCCACCCGCCTCAGCCTCCCGAAGTGCTGGGATTACAGGCGTGAGCCACCATGCCTGCCCGCCTTTAATATTTTAAAACTTTATAGATACTTTTTTGTATTGCCTAGATCACAATGAGTATGTGTCAGTCTTACAAAGATATTCCTTCCCTTCAAAAAATGGTGTCTTCTAAAAAGGGCAGACAGAAACACATGGTCGCTCATGCCCAGAATCCCAGCACTCTGGGAGGCCGAGGCGTGTGAAGAGCCTTGAGGGCCAGGAGTTCAAGACCAGCCTGGCCATCGTGGTAAAATCTTGTCTCTACTAAAAATAAAAAATTAGCCACGTGTGGTGGTACACTCTTGTAATTCCAGCTGCTTAGGAGGCTGAGGTTGGAGGATCATTTGAGCCCAGGAATAGGAGGTTGCAGTGAGCTGAGATTACACCATTGCACTCCAGCTGGGCAACAGAGCAAGACTCCGTCTCTTAAAAAAAAAAAAAAACACTTTGGGAGGCCGAGGCGGGTAGATCACGAGGTCGAGAGATCGAGACCATCCTGATCAACATGGTGAAACCCCGTCTCTACTAAAAATACAAAAAATTAGCTGGGCATGGTGGTGCATGCCTGTAATCCCAGCTACTCAGGAGGCTAAGGCAGGAGAATTGCCTGAACCCAGGAGGTGGAGGTTGCGGTGAGCCGAGATCGCGTCATTGCACTCCAGCCTGGGTAACAAGAGCGAAACTCCGTCTCAAAAAAAAAAAAAAAAAACAGGCTGGGCACGGTGGCTCACGCCTGTAATCCCAGCACTTTGGGAGGCTGAGGCGGGTGAATCACGAGGTCAAGAGATCGAGAGACCATCCTGGTCAACATGGTGAAACCCCGTCTCTACTAAAAATACAAAAAAATTAGCTGGGCATGGTGGTGCGTGCCTGTAGTCCCAGCTACTCAGGAGGCTGAGGCAGGAGAACTGTCTGAACCCAGGAGGCGGAGGTTGCGGTGAGCCGAGATCGCGCCATTGCATTCCAGCCTGGGTAACAAGTGCGAAACTCCATCTCAAAAAAAAAAACAAACTTTTCACTTTTCAGATGGTATAACATTATTAACAAAAGAGAGAGGCGCCGGGCACGGTGGCTCAAGCCTGTAATCCCAGCACTTTGGGAGGCCGAGGCGGGTGGATCACAAGGTCAAGAGATCGAGACCATCCTGGTCAACATGGTGAAACCCCGTCTCTACTAAAAAATACAAAAAAAATTAGCTGGGCATGGTGGTGCGTGCCTATAATCCCAGCTACTCAGGAGGCTGAGGCAGGAGAACTGCCTGAACCCAGGAGGCGGAGGTTGCGGTGAGCCGAGATCGCGCCATTGCACTCCAGCCTGGGTAACAAGAGCGAAACTCCGTCTCAAAAAAAAAAAAAAAAAAAGAGAGAGAGGCCAGGTACAGTGGCTCACACCTGTAATCCCAGGACTTTGGGAGGCCTAGGTGGGAAGATCACTTGAGGCCAGGTGCTCAAGATCAACCAGGGCAACATGGTAAGACCCCATCTCTACAAAAAATTGTAAAAATTAAAAAATTCAGCAAAGCATGGTGGCACAAGTCTGTAGACCCAGCTACTTGAGAGTCTGAGGTGGGAAGATAGCTTGAGCGAGGAGGTCACGGCTGCAGGAAGCCATGTTCATGCCACTGCACTCCATCCTGGGCAAAAGAGCAAGACCCTATTTCAAGAACAAAACAAAGCAACAGAGGGAGACAGACAAAGAGAACAAGGTAGGAAAAGCACCAAGTATGCTCTACAGACGCAGAATCTGGCAGGAGACGAGGGCTGAGCAAGGGTAGTAGTTACGGATTAGAGAGAAGGACTCAGGGTACTAAATGCCAGGCTAAGGAATCCATAGCATCGGGGAAGAAACAACCAAGAAATACGGGGGAAAGGAGCCCCTGTACTTCCTGGCCTTTCTGAACATGAAGATTTTTTGGACAGTGGTCCCCTACAACGTTTTATTTTACATCTCTACTCTTTCCCACCATGTGCAAAAATTTACATGAGTAAAAGTCACCAGGCTGGGCGCGGTGGCTCATGCCTGTAATCCCAGCACTTTGAGAGGCCAAGTTGAGCAGATCACAAGGTGAAGAGATTGGAGACCATCCTGCCAACATGGTGAAACCCCTATCTCTACTAAAAATACAAAAATTAGCTGGGCGTAGTGGTGCGCACCTGTAGTCCCAGCTACTGGGGAGGCAGAAGAATCACTTGAACCCGGGAGGCGGAGGTTGCAGTGAGCCGAGATCCTGCCACTGCACTCCAGCCTGGTGACAGAGCAAGACTCCATCTCAACAACAACAGAAGTCACCAAATAATTAGAGAAGACAAGACACTGAGTAAAAATTTGTCTTTAATAGAATCCACAGCTTATCTTCTATTTAAGTTTTTATTTTTTAATAGAGATGTTTAATTTTTTTATTTTGCTTTTTAATAGAGATGAAGTCTCACCATTGTTGCCCAGTCTGGTATCGAACTCCTGAGCACAAGCAATCTTCCCGCCTTGGCTTCCCAAAGTGTTGGGATTACAGGCATGAGCCACCATCCCTGGCCCCGATGTTCTTTGTTTAAAGATGGAGAAGAGGCAAATGGGTAATACTGAGTGTTTGAAGAGAGTAAGTCATTTCCAGTTATCACCGTGATTACCTTTTAATTTATCTTTAATGTTTTCGGACAGACGTTTTGTGAGCTGAGGCATCTCTTCTGGAGCATATTCAGCGTTTGCCAGTTCCTGCTTGAGCACAGCATGGATGCAGTCTTTAACCACAGAGGGCCTGAACCTGAATGGAGCAATTTGTGAGCATCTAGTCGGTGACTCCAAAACCCCAACTTACCTTCGTATCTCAGCTTCTCTCATCTTTTTGTCATTAGCACCATGCAATCCTTCTTTTTCACATTTGTATAAAATATAAACAAATTAAGACAAATCATATGCCGGCCTGGACCTGCAGTGAACTTCAACACATATTCCAACACAAACTCCATCTGGATGTTTTTTAGGCAACTCAATACACCAGTGATGAGCCTCTGATCTTCCCCTCTGCCTCACACAACATATATATTTGTTGTTAATCTTGTTCTGCACTCTTTCACAAAATAAAATAAAATATGGCTGTATAGCATTCTGGGCATTCAAGAACCTTTTACCAAATAACTGAGCATATCTTTTTCTGTGTTCATTCTACCCAAGGGAAAAATCCTTATGAAATTTGTATCATTTTTTTCTGTGGGTCACCAAGGGAATAAAAATAAATAGAGGAAAGAAACTTGCATGATATTACGGTCAAAATTCCTGTCTTCCAATATTTGTCAAGCATCAGATTCAGCAATCCGGTTTCAAACAGCAGAAGAGACTGGGACATTTTTTAAAATCTGTGTATGTGTGTGTGTGTGTGTATTGTGTGTGTGTGGTGCGTGTGTGTGTGTATTGTGTGTGTGGTGTGTGTGTATTGTGTGTGTGGGGGGGTGCGTGTGTGTGTGTGTGTGGATAAACCCTGCGATCTTACAGACCTCGCTGTGTGCCCGCGGCCCTGACCCGTGAGCCTTAATCCCGGCAGGTGCCGCCGTCTCAGGCCAAGGACCCCGCCTGGGAGGACCGGGCACACCCCGCCCCCCGCGCCCCCCCGCACCGCCCCCCCCGTACACCCCCGCCCCCCGCGCCGCCCCCCCGCCCCCCGCGCTCCTCCCGCCCTCGGTCCCGCGCCCCCTGCGCTCCTCCCGCCCTCGGCCCCGCGCTCCCGGGCGCACCCCGCAGCCCGTCCTCTACCCGCCTCTGCTGGAACACAGGCCGCAGGGTGTAGGTGTTCTCGGGCTCCGCGGAGTCTCTCCCGGCCTCAGACGCCACGTCGCCCACCGAGGACACCGCGGCGAACGCAGCCATGGCCGGGCTTCTCCGGGCGGGGCAGCGTCTCCAAGGCAACGGGCCCTCCCTCCGCGCCTGCGCAGCGCCCGCCCGCCGGGCGGGAATGGGCGGGACCCTGGTGCGTCCCCGCCCCCCACGCGGGCGTCCCGCCGCCCTCGCCGGTTCTCGCCGGTTACCGTCCCGCAGCCGCGCCGCAGGCGGAGGAGACGGACTGGCCGGAGGCTCCCGACTCGAGGCGCCGGGTCGGTGCGAAGGCGATGGCGGCGGCCGGCCGCGGGGCTCACGCCTGTAGTCCCCGCGCTTTGGGAGGCCGAGGCGGGCGGACCACCTGAGGTCAGGAGTTCGAGGCCGGCCCGGCCAACGCGGTGAAACTCCGTCCCTGCTAAAAATACAAAGCTTAGCCGGGCGTGGCGGTGCGCGCCTGGGGTCCCGGCTGCCCGGGAGGCGGAGGCGGGAAAACCGCTTGAACCCCGAGATCGGGCCGCTGCACTCCAGCCTGGCGGCAGAGCGAGACTCTTATCTCAAAAAAAAGAAAGAAGGAAGGAGACTTAGGATGCATTCTCTGCTTTTTTTTTAATATTTGTAATTTTTTTTTTTGGACAGAGTCTCTCACTCTGTCCCCCAGGCTGGAGTGCAGTGGCGCGATCTCGGCTCACCGCAACCTCCGCTTCCCAGGTTCAAGTGATTCTCCTGCTTCAGCCCCCCAAATAGCTGTGGTTACAGGCATGCTCCACCATGCCTGGCTAAGTTTTGTATTTTTTGTAGAAATTGAATTTCACCATGTTGGCCAGGCTGGTCTCGAACTCCTGACCTCTGGTGATTCACCTTGGCCTCCCAAAGTGCTGGGATTACAGGTGCGAGCCACTGCTAAGATGCTGGGGTTGTCTAACTCATTTCTAGGGCCTGCCCACCACTTTTCTTGCCAGGTTCTTCCCAGGCTGCTTCTGCCTGCCTTGTCCTCGTCCTGCCGTCAAACCATACCCTCCCACCAGCATCTCCTTATTCCTCTTTGACTCTTCTCCCCACCCAAGGCCAGACCTGACTGGGAACCCCAAAATGGGAGAGGAGGGGGCTCTGCCTTCAGGTGCTGTGTGAGAAGCAGCTGTGAGGTCGGGCACGCAGGCCCACGCCTGTAATCCCACCACTTTTGGAGGCCAAAGTGAGTGGATCACTTGAGGTCAGGAGACCTGGCTGACCAACATGGTAAAACCCCAACTCTACTAAAAATACAAAATAATTAGCCAGGCATGGTGGCATGCACCTGTAATCCCAACTACTCAGGAAGCTGAGGCAGGAGAATCTCTTGAGCCTGGAAGGTGGAGGTCGCAGCGAGCAGAGATCGCACACTGCACTCCAGCCTGGGTGACAGAGCCAGACTCTCTCAAAAAAAAAAAGCAGCTGTGGCATCACAGTCCATCCACTAGCCTGGGGATCCCTTCTGTGTCTCTGAATATGCTGCTGTTTTTGGTGGGAAGCCCTCCCGTCCCTCTCTGCTGGGCCGACGCCAAAGAATCAACTCAGGTGCAAGCGAGGCCTTCCTTGAGTTCTCCCGGGGCCTTTCCCTGGAGATTCGCTGTTCCACTGAGCTGTTGTTGCACCTTCGTGAGCCCTAACATGGCCCTTAGCATGTGATGCTGGAATCATTGGTAGATGTTTGTTCCTGCCCTAAACAAGCGCTCAAGGGAAGGGCAGCATCCGAGGCCAAGGACCATGTCTTGGGCACATTTGGATGGCAGTGTGTATGGCAGTGCCAGGCACAGGGTGGGTACTCATTATATGCTATTTGGGTTTTGGACGGGTTGTTTTGGGGCAGGGTGTCCTGTTACCCAGGCTGGAGTGCAGTGCAGTGATCACAGCTCACTGCAGCCTCAACCTTCCAGGCTCAAGTGATCCTTCCACCTCAGCTTCCCCAGTAGCTGAGACAATGGCATGAACCACCATGGTTGGCTAATTTTTCCATTTTTTGTAGAGACTGTGTGTTAGGTGATTCTTGCACTGCTCTAAAGAAATGCCCGAGACAGGGTGACTTCAGAAAAGAGATGGCCGGGCATGGTGGCTCACACCTGTAATCGCAGCCCTTTGGGAGGCCAAGGCAGGTGGACTGCTTGAGGCCAGGACTTCAAGACCAGCCTGGCCAACGTGGTGAAACCCCGTCTCTACTAAATAAATAAATAAATAAATAAATACAAAAATTAGCCGTGCATAGTAGCAGGCCCCTGTAATCCCAGCTACTCAGGAGGCTGAGGCAGGAGAATTGCTTGAACCTGGGAGGCAGAGGTTGCAGTGAGCCAAGCTCACCACCATAGCACTCCAGCCTGGGCCATGGAGTGAGACTGTCTGAAAAAAAAAAAGTGTCATCACCAAAGACAGTCACACTGGGGGTTAGTGATCCAACCAATGCATTTGGAAGAAACACTATTCCGTCTGTAATAACAGGGGAACGTGAATTTAGAAGATGGAGGTTGGAGCCAGGCACTCATGCCTGTAATCCAGCATTTGGGGAGACCAAGGCCAGAGAATCACTTGAGGTCAGTAGTTCAAAACCAGACTGGGCAATGTAGTGAGACCCCATTTCTACAAAAATTAGCCAGGTGTCGTGGTGTGTGCCTGTAGTCCCAGCTACTCAGAGGCTGAGGTGAGAGGATCGCTTGAGCACATGAGTTCTAGGTTACGGTAAGCTATGATTGTGCCACTGTACTCCAGCCAGAGGGACAGAGTGAGACCTGTCTCAACAAAAAGGGAGTTGGGGGTCGGCTGCTGACTTCATCTTAACTTCACTGTGTGCTTTTATGTAGAAACCTGTTATCTTCTGCCAGCCCCCGCTTCTCCATGTGTAACAAATGGCCAGGTAGATGAGACTGTCGAGAACAGGTGTCCCCAAACTGCGGGCCGCATGCGGCCCCCTGAGGCCATTTATCCGGCCCCCCGCCGCACTTCAGGAAGGGGCACCTCATTCATTGGTGGTCAGTGAGAGGAGCACAGTATGTGGCGGCCCTCCAACAGTCTGAGGGACTCCAACTGGCCCCCTGTGTAAAAGTTTGGGGACGCCTGGTCAAGAAGCAAAAATGAGATCATGGCTGGAGGACATTTTATGGACTATAAATTCTTACACATTTATAATGACTTAATTATTTATCCTATCCATGCATCACCTGGATGTTTACAAAATGATTTTAAATGCATTTTATTATTCAACCTACATGCAGTGAATTTTGTTATCATTATGCCAGGGATGCCTAAAGGGGAAGTTTGTTGGTAATTCGTACCCACTCCTTGTAGAAAGGACTCAAGGCGGCCCATGATGAAAACACTCATGCTTGGAAGTGAAGATACTGCCTGTCACTTCTCGCAGAGGCTGCAGAAAAGGCCCAGGAAGCTGTTGATGATGTGAACGACCACCAGAAGAAGCTGGAGCAGGCTGACGCACAGAAGGGCAGAAAAGAAGGCCACGTGCCAGACAACAGCTTTAGAGGGTTCCAGGCAGACGGAGTTCCAGAGCGAACGGTCATACAGATAATTCCTATCCCAAGAAATAAGGAGACCAGGGAGTGGGCGACAAGGAAGCCAAACAGGCAACCCCAGTAGCAAACTGGGGCTCCCCTGACTGGGTCAGAGGACTGGGCCCCTGAGGGTGACCGTTACTGTTGCGTTTGCAATTTTCTGAGCATCAGGGGAGCAAGATGCTAGACTGTGTGACCCAAAGGAGCTTGTGGTTCACCTGTGTGTCTTTCTGCCTCTCTCCCTCTCTCTGAAAAGACTGCAAATCCAAGCCTCTGTCCACTTACCTACTGTGCAGGTCTCTGAATGGGTAACCATATTTCCAAGCTTGTGTCTGATTGAAGGATGAGACATCAAACATGCAAAAAGGACCATCCTTCAGAGCAACTCCGGAAGTGACAAAGCAAATCAGGGCTCCAAGCAAAGCCAGGCCACTTGACAGCAGACCAGCGAGCACCTGCGGAGGGAGGGAGACGGTCAGCTGAGATGGACGGGGTCCCGCTGGGGAGCCCGTGTGGTGATCTGCACGGCTCTAACTTCTGTCCTGTCACGGGGCACGGATTTCTATCCATGGCACCCCCTTTCAAGCATAACCCAAGGTGGGGAGGCCAGTGAGGGCTTCTAGGTAGAGCCAGGAAGGGCTGGGAGAGAAAGCACCGAGAAGGAGAAACGCAGGCACTTAGCTCTGGCCCAGCGAGCTGGGAGGAGCTGCCCAGCAAAGCTGTGTGTGGATCGCCGCCATTAGCCTCCGAGTTAAAGGGGCAGATTGAGGATCACAGGCCCACCTCTGACTCTTCTAAGGACAAGCTGCATTTTCAAAAGTTCTAGCCTCCTAACTCTGATTCTTCTTTTTTTCAAATCAAGTATAAAATGAAGGAAGGAAAGAAAGGAGAAGGAGAGAAGTGGGAGGGAGGGAAGAAGGGAGCGAAAGAGACAGAAGCTGCAGCAAAACTCGGAATGACTCCACTTCTGTCACTGCGTCTGGCCACCAAGAGCCCCCTTGGTCAGTCCGAGCTCCTGCTGCCCTCCGGAAAATAACTTCCTTCCTTGGCAGGTTTCCAGCCTGCTTCCACAGCGGCTTCTTTCTTAGGGTTCTAGAGTTTTTTTTCTCCCTCCTCCAAAAATGTATATTTAAAAAATCTGAATAACCTGTAGAATTTTTCTGCAGAGTCATGGAGTCATTTTCCCACGGATGTCAAGCTGGTTTGGAGTTTGGAGGGGATCAGAGAAAGGTGCGTAGTAAGTTGGACTCCGAGTTGAAAGATTCAAGGTGCATGAGTAAGCCTAGGGCAGTGGTCACCAAAATGGGGTCCCTGGCGCAGCTGTTCCATCAGCTGAGAACTTCTTAGACATGCAAAGCCTCCTGCTCCACCCACTTCTGAACCGGAAGTCTGGGGAGGGAGCCCAGCAATCCCGCTCTAGCAAGCCCTCCAGGCGGTTCTGATGCACATTCAAGTGTGGGAACTACTTGCCTCAAGAAAAGCCAGAGGTGACTGAGAACAGACAGCGAATGACATGGTTTCTCTTTTTTTATTTTATTTTTTTGAGACAGAGTCTCACTCTGTCACCCAGGCTGGAGTGCAATGGCGC